TTTTTGTCCTGAGCTTTTGTCCAAAATAGTTCAATTGTTTCTTTTCTTTTTTTTTTTTTACTTTTGTTTGCAGTGTAATGAATCCCTTAGAAAATTGTGAATTCTTTTCTTTTTCATTGGGGAAACCACAGATATAAGTACCAGAGTGTTTCCTAATTATGCGAGTTTTTATTTAAACCTCAAGAGAAACTAATACCCAACATAGTTATTTAATGACAATATAATTTTCTTTCTTCTGTGTTAAAAAATAGAACTTAATGTCTTTGTGCATTTCAGCAACAGAAATGGATACTAAAAGACTTATTTTTCTTCACTCTTATGCTTAAATGTATAGATGCATTTGTCTTATTAAAAAGAAACTTACTAGAGTGAAATATTAGCTTTTTGAGGTGGCTGATATGAATGACACATAAAAATGTTCTCAACTCAAGTACCAAAGATGTATAAAACGAATCATTTATGAAACTGTTTGTACAAATGGTTTAAGTCCTCCATTATGAAACAAGTGATTTGTGGTTTGAACCCACCCCAGTGGCTGCTGAGAAGAAGTACCTGGTAATCTGCTTGCCTAAAGATTGTTGTTGTCAAGAAAATCATTTAAGCTGATTCTACTCTATCAGTGTTGCTGAAACAATTTAACAGCATATAGCAACAAAAGAAATGTAAATCTAAATGAATTAAGGGATTTTGAAAGTTATAATTTCATATCCATCCAGTAGCGTTTGAATGGACTAAATGCCGAGCTGAACATGCAAATGTCTTGAAAAACGACTCTGTTACTATTATTGATTGGGGACCTTGTGGCAAGTTTCTCACCAAATGCTCTGTAGAGGAAAAGGACAATGAACAATGTGACTTACTTACAGAATCAACTTGGAAAACACCAGACAAAATTTGGACTAAAGTTCCATGTCTAATGGCAAGGCATGAAGGGGGCTTGGCACCTCCTCGCCCCTGGATAATTCATACCGTGTTAGGACCTGAACAATGGGACTTGTGGAAATTACCTTTTGCTTTACAACTTTATAGAATACATACTGGAAATTTTTCTGGTACCAATAGTAATCCATCAATTTATGAATTCAGACTAAAATGAGACAAAATATTTACAAGCATGTGTCTGACTGCCTTATGTCATTGGTATAGGTACTATAGAAATCAATTATGATGATAAAAGTTTGACTTGTCATTCATGTAAGTTATATACTTGTTTAAATGAGAAATTGTATAATAAAAACATATCTATTATTGTACTAAAAGCTCAACTGGGAGTTTGGCTTCCTGTAAACTTAACTAGACCATAGGAACATAGTGCAGAGACGCATGTATTATTAAAAATGTTGGGAAAATTAGTAAATAGAACAAAAAGGTTCATTGGAACTCTTATAGCTATTATTGTAGGACTTATAGCTGCCGTCACTGTTGCTACGCTGGCAGGTGTAACTTTGAGTCTAAGTGTCCAAGATGTTGAATTTGTACAAGATTGGCAACAAAATGCACATCAATTATGGAATCAACAAGATAAAATAGATAGAGAAAAAAATCATCTACATGGGTTGAAGGAAAATATGTCTATTGATGTTGTTGTTGTTATGTGCCGTGGAGTCAGTTCCAACTCATGGCGACCCTGTACAGGGTTTCCGAGGCTGTAAGTTTTTACAGGAATAGAAAGCCTCATCTTTCTCCCTCGGAACAGCTGGTAGTTTCAAACTGCTGACCTTAAGGTTCGCAGCCCAATTCGTAACCACTACTCTACCAGAGTTTCTTGTCTATTGATATTAATAACTTAGAAATACAAATGAATCATACATTTAAAAAGCATTTGCAAATAAATCACGCTATCAATGTAGCTTCCACCTTTGTACAAGCCCTGCAAGATTTAAATCCTAAATATTGCTTTCATGGATGGGGAACTTCACTTTTCACTGGAATTGTATTACTGATCATTATTATTATTATTTTGCTATCTTTAGTCTGGAAGTTCCACCAACGAAGATTAATCAATATGGAAAAGGCTCTAGGAGCTTTCCTTTTGCTCTCCGTACAAAACCAAAAAGGGGGAGATGTAGGAGTTACGGGAAGTGTGTGAAGCCCACACGGTGGTAGCTCTCTAAACCAAGGAAGACTTTGGAGAGAGCTACAAAGATCTTGCTAGCCATCGGCAATAGGCCAAGACCACATGGACCTGATTAGTAGAAAAACAAGTTAGTTAAGAAAATTACTTTGAAATATGTGACTATTGTAGTATGTAGCTCTTGATCCATATCTTTATAATTATCCTGGAAATTGTGTTCCCTACCTACGAAAGCAATCTTTACACGGACTGATTTCCAACATATTATTCTCACTGAATGATGTCAATGGTATTGTGATCTAGCAAAGGTCTTGTGAATCACTTTACTAAAGATTTATGATTTGCCCCCTCCCTCATACCTAAGAAATGTGTATTTAAACTGAATCTGGAAGACATTAAAACACTCTCGACTGACCATCTCGAGTCTCCTGTCACTTTAATCCTCAAATCCGCCTCCTTGAACCCCCGTCCATGCAGGGCTGGCCTCTGCACTTTGGAAATGAAAGAAGTTAATTAATGTGCATAACTGTCATCTAGACTTGGGAAAAGGAAAATTATAATTAAGTCATGTTTATGTTTTCTGAAAGCCTTAATTGACTGAAATGGAAATATTATTGTTTGTTGTTGCTGTTGTTGTTGTTGTTAAGTGCCATCTAGTTGCTTCAGTCTCATAACGACTCTGTATAGGGTTCCCAAGGAGCAGTTGGTGAGTTTGAACCATCGCTTTGTGGTTCAAACCGATCTTGCACTTCTGTGCTTTATCACACAGAGCCATACCAGGACATAGATTTAACTTTGGTATGATGTACATTAAAGAAGCACTAATGGGGCAGTGATTAAGTACTTGGATGGTATCATAAAGGTTTGCAGTTTGAACCCACCAGTGACTTCATAGAACAAGAGACCAGGTCATATGATCCCTTAAATATGGTGGACCCTATGAGGCAGTTCTACTCCTTCATATAGAGTCATGATGAGTTAGAATGAACTCAACATCCAACAGTAAAGAGATGTAAATGTAAATGTCAAAATTTATAAGGAAACCATGACCATATTAGTAAGACAGGACTACGTTATCAAGGAATCCGTGCTTATTTAGTATTATTATTCCTGTGCAATTCCATATAACTTAGTGTATTATAGTAATAATCTTAGTATTCCTCCTTGTATATATGATAAATTAAAGCTACAAGTTTAAATTGAAGTATAAGTTTTTGGTCTTGTAGCATTTAAGTTTAACTCTGAAATCCTGGTCTGGTGCTATAAGATAAGCACTCTACCTCAAGGTTTCTTTGAACCACAAGGTTGTTGTTCAAACACACCAGCCGTGCATCAGAAACCCTATACTGGGTCACTCTAAGTCAAAGCCAACTAGACAGCACTTAACAAACAAGAACTTTTACTCTACTTAAAAGTTGAACTCATTAAACTTACATGAATTATATGTTTGCTAATTCTAAAAGTTCATGAAAAAAAAAAGAGGTAATATATAAAATGTATACATGCAATGTAAATATTCAAATTCTTTGATTTAACAACCTTGATCAATAGCCCAATATTTATGAAAAACAAAACAAAACAAAACAACAGAGTGACTGCTAATATCTATTAGATTGATATAAGGAAAATACACATTGTAGTCCTAACAGTTTTGAGGTTTTAGAACGTACAGCCTTAATAATTAGAAAGACTAAGGAAAAGAATATAAGTTTAGAATAAGCTAAAAAATACTAAGAGAATCATTTAATTTGATGAAAGAATTCAAAATAAGAGCGATCAAAACCCACTTTATAGCACAAGCTCCACATCTGATGCTATCAGCTTTAAACTATATTTATATATTTAGTGTAATGTTTTGTATCCTTTTGAGGCTGAACTTCCTGTCTTTAGAGATTTGACTTCATAATTAATGTCTAAATATAATCCCTATAGTGCTCCAGGTCTCTTGAATAAAAGTACCTCTGCATGTATTTATTCAGAAGGTACCTCAATTTTACAAAGAAGTAACTCAAATTTACACCAAACTTTCTTTAATGAAATTCTTCTTTTTATTTTTTAATCCCCAAATGAGAACTTCTACTAATAAAGAAATGATAGACTAGGCAGAGTCCTGGCATGGCTCTCTACGATACACAATGGACTGCTAAACACAAGGTCAGAAGTTCAAACCTAATAGCCACTTTTCTGGGACCTTATACAGGGTTGCTATGAATCACAACCAATTCAACTACACTGAACAACAACAAGAAGACAGGTAAGATACTACCTGGCAAGAAAGTTCTAAGGATTTGGCCCTACTGTTCACTGTGATAGAAAAATACATCTGCTAGTAATTGGCATTTGACTTGATATGTGCCACATTCTTGTAACAAGAACAGCCATTTGTTTTATGTAAAAAATACAAAATTGCTCTTAAGTTTATAATGGATGTCTAAACATTAACATACTTAAATTGTCAAAATGTTTTGCTATTTAAGGTTAAACAGAGTTATTTGGAGGAGAAATGTGTGCATTTTGGAGAGGCGACAGTGTGGCATGGTCTTAAGAGAAGGAAAATATTGTCTCTGAGTTAAATTCATATAATTGTACAGAGAATAGGATAAACTTCAGCAAACATACTTCTATCTTTTGCATTTGATTGAGGGATGGTATAAAAATAAAAGAATATTTCAATTATAAAGACCTTCTACTTATATTCACTACACACAATCGTTTTGTTTTGTTTTTAGTGCATTTTCCAGCAGTACTGTGTATTTCCACTTACTTTAGTCATTCCATTTGCTATGCTATATTATCTTAGGTTTTCATTTTTTTATTTTTCCATATATAAATAGCCTCATTGACATTTCAACTTCTTCCTGTAAAGTATTGCAGAGGGTAATATTTAAACATAATGCAGAGTTTAAACAAGTCATATTTGTTTTAAATGATGAGAAAAAACTATACCTCATTGACTGAGTTCATCCTGTTGGGATTAGCAGACACCCTGGAATTACAGATTATCCTCTTTATGCTATTTTTGGGGATTTACACATTTACAATTCTAGGCAATGTGGGGATGATTCTACTAATCAGGATTGATTCTCGACTTCACACACCCATGTATTTCTTCCTGGCTAACTTGTCTTTCGTGGACATCTGCTACTCATCCACCATCACCCCAAAGATGCTGGTAGACTTACTGTCTGAGAAGAAAACAATCTCCTTTGCTGGTTGCTTCCTGCAGATGTATTTCTTCATTGCCCTGGCAACAACTGAATGTATCCTCTTTGGGTTAATGGCCTATGACCGGTATGTGGCCATATGTAACCCACTCCTTTACTCCTTAGTCATGTCCAGGACAACCTGTCTTAAAATGGCAGCTGGGGCCTTCACAGCAGGGTTGCTGAACTCCATGATGAACACAAGTTATGTAAGCAAATTACCATTCTGTGGTTCCAATGTCATCCATCATTTCTTCTGTGAGGGTCCCCCTCTTTTTAAGCTCTCTTGTTCTGATACACGCCTGAATGAAATGATCTTTTCCAGTTTTGCTGGTGTGATCATTGTGGGAAGTCTTCTGGTCATACTCTCTTCTTACTGCTATATTCTCTTCTCCATCTTTCTTATGCATTCAGGGGAGGGAAGACGCAAAGCTCTCTCAACTTGTGCCTCTCACTTGACTGCTATAATTCTATTCTATGCATCTTCCATCTATACTTATCTGAAACCCACTTCCAGCTACTCCCTGAACCAAGACAAAGTGTCTTCTTTGTTCTACTCAGTGGTGATCCCCATGTTGAATCCTCTGATCTACAGCCTCAGGAATAAGGAAGTAAAGAAGGCTTTTTGGAATGTGATTTCTAGGAAAAGAATCCCTTCATTTCTGTGACAGCCTGGCAAAATTCTGAAATAAGTGCACTTATTTGATTAACTATCAAAATCTGACTAATACTATCGTTCTTTAGAATATTTTCAGAGTAAACATGTTCTCAAGTATTTGTATCCATTTGTATATAAGAAATATTAATAAAGCACCACATAAAACATGTACACATATTAAATAATAAATATGAGTTTGTTCAAAACTGTGCTACAGAAGTCATTGTTGACTGGTTACAATTAACAAGCAGCAGTGCTTTTTCAATCTCTTAGGCTTCTCCTCAAAAACTTTCTGAGTCTTTTCTCCTTCTCACTCCCCAGACACAAATGTATAAGCAAAATCATATGCAAACACAGGTGATACAAAGAGTTCAAGAAGTGCATAGTTCCAAAGGAGGTAGATAGTCAGTGATTAAAATGACTCATATTCTTTAGAATTGACTCTTTTTTTGGTTTTGTTGTCATAGAAAACTTTTTAACTGACAATAAAATTGAAAATCATCTCAATGTTAATGCTAATCATTGTTAGTATGGCAGTAGGCATAAAGATGCACCTACAATGTGTGTTTCCAGGGAATTAAATATTACAGAACCAAATGCTAATGTTATTTGTCTTTTTGATGCAAAATTTATGAATAGAAAATATTTGGAAATGAAGTCTATTTATTCTAGCATTTAGGATTTCGGGCTCATTTTATTTTAATCTAGGTCATTTGTTTGCTAATTCAACTCTTTATGTACTTTAGCTCATTTACAAAGTAAGCATAGTGGTTATGAATCAGGCTGTGAACCACAAGGTCAGCAATTTGAAACTACCAGCTGTTCCACTGGAGAAAGGCAAGGCTTTCTGCTCCAGTAAAGATTTATAGCCTCAGAAACCCTGTGCAGAGTCACTATGAGTAGGAACCAACTCCACGGCACTTAGCAACAACAACAACAGTTATTTCCAGCTATAGGAGGAGTTACCATTTAATGATGTTAGCTCATTATTAACTCACTGAATGTGTGCCTTTAATGTAGTTTTGTTCTTTCTCTAACTAATCATTTTTTATGTTGATGTTAGGTGTTATCCGGTCAATTATCCAGTCATAGAGTCACATTTCATAGAGCAGAACTATCCCATTGTGTTTTCTAGGTTGTAATCGTTTTGAATGACTCTTGGTGTGGCTCTGTAGGATCAGCACTAGATTGTGAACCATAAGGCCAGCAGTTTGAACCCATCAGCCACTCATAGGAAACCCTATACAGAGATATTATGAGTTGGAACCGACTCAATGGCACTTAATAATGACAACAGCTTTATGACAGCAGATCATTAAGTCTTTCTCTTGAGTAACTGCTGGATCACTTCTAACCACCAACATTTTCATTTGTAACCAAGTGATATAAACTATAGTGCCACCAGGCTTCCTATTTATTTGTGGTAAAACTTTCTATTCTCCCAATTTATTCTCATTTGTAATGCATTTATGTGACAAAATGTTTCACATTTTGTACTTTTATTTACTCTAACTAGCTTTTAAAAGTGATTAGAAATGGCTAATTTTTATATCAAAGTGATTTTATTACTCCTTTCTAGCCTTCGTATAACCCTACCTTATTAACCTCCCCTTATGATATGTAATACTCTGTCTCTTTGTTACAGTATCTCTATTGTTTTCTGTTTTTGTAGTTTTTCCAGTCTTCTATTTCAATTGGATATTTGTTATACCATTCCTAAAATATGTAGAGGTGTTAATTAATGTTGTCTTAGTTCTGTTTTTGAGTAATTAATATATTAAAATTAATGAAGTAAATTTTAAATGCTTGCCACTAGATTTTTTTCTAGTTAATAAATTTAATAGTGAGTAGATAAAGCTATGTAGGGACCTATTTATAAAACACATGAACATCCCAATCTAGAAATGCAAACATATAATCTGGAAAGATCATTAGCCATCAGAGGCTACAAGGAAATACGGTCTAATTACAAGGAAATACCATCTATCACTGACAATCATGGCACTAATAAAATGAATAATTAAACAAAAATACTCTATTGAAAAGACAATACAGACTATCACGTATGTTGGAATGCTTATACACTGCTGGTAAGAAGGTAAAATGGTACAACCACTATGGAAAATGGTATGAAATCAATATACAATATGATACAGCAATCTTGTTATTAGAATCATATCCCAGAGAAGTGAGAGCCATTACATGAATTAAATATATTCACATCTGTGTTCATCATAGCATTATTCACAATAACAAAAAGATGTGAACAAACTAAATGCCCATCAAAAGATGAATGGAGAAACAAACAATCAAACATACACAAATAGAATACCACACAGTGTTAAAGAACAATTACAAATTTGTAAAACACCTCATAACATGGATGAACTTGGAGGACAATATGCTGAGTGAATTAAGTCAGTCAAAAAAGGACAAATATTGTATGAGACCATTATTATAAAAAACAATAAAAGGTTTAGATACTGAAAGAAATACTATATAATGTTTATCAGGCATGGGAAGGAGAGAAAATCACTAACTAGATAAGAGATATGAATTAACTTGGGTGAAGAGAAAGGTTAATATACAATAAGAGAGAGGTAAGTACAACATGAACAATGCAAAGGAAGATATTGGGAGATGCACAAGAGTAAAAGGCAGTAAATATAAATACTATTACATACTCAATCATGTAATAATAACAGAATATAATTTACATGTGAATACTTAGCTAGAATGGGAAGTTGAACAGATGAAGGATGTTGAATGGGAGTACACTCATAAATATACATATGTTTGGCAGAGAATATTTCTAATATACATTTTCATGTGCTTCAAATATATCCATGTAACAGGTGGCAAAGTTATGATAACTTCTTTGCATCACCCAAAACCTTAAAGGCCTGAGTAACTAGATTTGGAGACTTTGACATCTAGGCCAACTTCCATAACATCATCTAAAAAGGCAATGTTTTAAAGTCTATGAAAGGAAGCACGAACTGGGCTCTTAAAAGATTTAAAGAAGCCATATAAAATGCAACTGGTAGTCTTTAACTATCTAGAGTAAAAAAGAGTGAAGAAAGTCAAAGACTCAATGAAACAATTAGTTGAAATTATCAATGAACCTTATGAACCACAGCCTCCATGTGCATAAAACCAGCAGAATTAGATGGTGTCCAGGTATCACTACTGACCACTCTGATCACAATTACAATAGAAGGTTCTGGACAGAGTGGAAAAAGTATACAAAATTTCTAAATTATATTAAAAAATACCATATTTATTAGTCTGGTGGAGACAGGTGGAATCCCTGAGGTTGGCCCTTAGACACCTCTCATACCTGGAATTGAACTCACCTCTGGTGATTACCTTTCAGCCAAACAATAAACATGCCTATAAAGGGAACAAGAATACCTGTAAGGAACATGCTCATCAAATCTACGATATGAAACCAAAAGGGCAATGTTTGCTTAAAATCCAAGTTAAGAAGGCAGAAAGATGCAGGAAAGGAGAATAAAAATTAGATTCTCAGGTAGGAAGCTGTTGTTGTGGGGAAGTGCTGTTGAGTAGGTTCTGACCCTGTGTAGGGTTTCCAAAGAGCAGCTGGTGAGCTTGAACCACCAACCTTGCAGTTCAAATGGCTTTGCAGTCTGGCACATTGACTCACAGCGCCACACCAGAAAGTTAGAAGAGTGCAATTCCATTCAGAGAATTGCAATTAAAAACATAAAACAAATTAAGAAATTTTTAGAATGAGAAACTAATTTGCTCTCTTAACTTTCACACAAAGCACAATAAAAGTTCAAAATTAAAAATAAAGGAATCAAGATTTAATAAGCACATGGACCCAAATCATAAACCAAAATCAAACCAAACAAAACCAAAACAGATTTTTTTAAGGAATGTTGTTCTTGTTAATTGCCATTGAGTCAGTTTCGATTCACCGTGACTCATTGTACATCACAACTAAATACTGTCCTATCTCGTGTCGTCCTCATGATCGCTGTTACTCTTGAGCCCACCGTTGCATCCACTATGCCAATCCATCACATTGTAGGCCGTCCTCTTTTTCACTGACCCTCCACTTTAGCAAACATGATGTCCTTCTCCAGGAATTCCTTCCTCCTTGTACTGAGAGATAACATCTCTCCATTTTGGCTTCTAAGGCATATACTGGCTGTACTTCTTTCAACACAGATTTGTTTGTTCTTCTGGCAGTCCATGTACTTTCAATATTATTCTGCAACACCATAAATGAAATACTTGTACAAGCTTCTCTATTCATTGTCTAACTTTAACATGCATATAGGCAATTATAAATATCATCATGGCTTGAGTCAGGCGCACTTTAATAATCAAACTGATATATTTTCACTTGTTGTTGTCAGGTGCCTTCGAGTCAAACCGACTCATAGCGACCCCATGTACAGCAGAATGCAACAATGTCCAATCCTGGGCCAACCTCACTACCATTGCCACACTTGAGTCCATCATTGCTGTCACCTGGCCGATCCATCTCGTTAGGGGTCTTCTTCTTTTTCTACAACCCTCCACCATACCAAGCATGATATCCTTCTCTAGTGACTGCTCCCTCCTAACAATATGTCCAAAGTATGAGAGACAAAGTTTAGCCATCTTGGCCTCAAAGGAGCACTTCTTCCAAAACAGATCTATTGGTTCTTTTGGCAGTCCATGGCACTTTTAGTATTCTCCTCCAACACCACAATTCAAAGGATCAATTCTTCCATGATCTTGCTAATTGCCCAGTTTTCACAACCATATGAGATTATTGAAAATACCATGGCTTGGGTCAGGCGCACCTTAGTCCTCAA